TCTCAGAGACTCGCTTCCTTTGGCTTAAAATACCGACTTCCTCCCCCCCTCCCCCGCCCGGCCGAATCTTGGGATGGGCATCTCACTTCCGCAGTGGGTTGGCGTGGTGCTAAATTATCTCTGTGGCCCCTCTGGTCTGTGAGCCTTTAGTTTTGCCACCAGTCAATTTTAGCGTCCTGATTTATTCAGTGCCACATGCCTCGCGACATTGATCGCAGAGGCAGAGAATTCCCACGTCGCCCATTCGCTGATCAAGGCGATTGGCAGTTCCCCCGGCCGCCTGAGCGTGGCCGGCTAGAAACTTCATTGCCTGAGCCGGGTTAAGAGGAAGTCAATGGAACAATAAAACCGGTAATTTCTCGGTCACGTTTTTAAAAAACCCCAGACCAGCGCATTATGTGCTAGCATGGATTAGACTATAATAGAGCACCACAGTTTATGTATTGGGATATATGTTTGTAATGAATATAAAACCTGCGATAAAACATTGAGGTTTTTTCTTGGCAACTTTTTTTTTTTACAATGTAATAGAGGAGCCTCCAGTTTTATTTACTTGAAAGAGAGAGTAGCTGCACAGAGGAAGCTGGGAGTACAGGAAAACAAATAAAACCTTCATTGTTTTTTACACAGCTTCCTTGTAATAGATGTGACCTGCTTGTGTTAGTTAATATGAAGGAGAATTCCAATTTAGAGCGTACTCTGTGCAGCAGTTTCCCAGATAAGCTCTCACAGTCCTCCTCAAAGAGAAAATATCACTGGTGGATTCCGTTAGTTAAGAGTGTGCACCAGCATTCAGAAATGGGGATTTTCAACTATTGATACCAGAGAAACTAGACCAGTGGTGGCGAACCTATGGCACAGGTGCCAGAGGTGGCACTCAGAGCCCTCTCTGTGAGCACGTGTGCCATCGCCCCAGCCAGGCCCAGACCATCATTAAAGTGTCAAATTCTCTGCCGTGTTTCAGGAAAGTGGGCAAGGGCCTTCACCAATAGGGTTTACTGCAAGCCTCCCTCTAAATGTGGTTATTTTAGTTGATGGTAACTCCTTCCCTATGAAGAAAGCTTCATGAGGCTTTCTTAGCTTGGAGAAATGACGACTGAGGCTGCCATGATAGAGGTTTACAAAATCATGCATGGGGTAGAGAAGGTAGAGAAAGAGGTCCTCTTCTTCCTTTCTCACAAGATGAGAACTCGTAGGCATTCAATGAAATGAGTCATTAACACTGCTGCAGTGGTGACCGCTACAAGCATAGACAGCTTCAAGAGGGGACTGGATAGACATATGGAGCAGAGCTCCATCAGTGGCTATTAGCCACAAGGAATAGATGAAACACTCTGTCTGGGGCAGTGATGCTCTGTCTTCTTGGGGCTTGGAGGGGCAAGAGTGGGAGGGCTTCTGGAGTTCTGGCCCCACTGGTGGACCTCCTGATGGCACCTGGGTTTTGGCCATTGTGTGACAGAGTGTTGGACTGGATGGACCACTGGCCCGATCCAACATGGCTTCTCTTATGTTCTTATGTTTGGAGCAGTGATGCTCTGTCTTCTTGGTGCTTGGGGGGGTCAACAGTTGGGAGGGCTTCTGGAGTTCTGGCCCTGCTGGTGGATCTCCTGATGGCACCTGGGTTTTGGCCACTGTGTGACACAGAGTGTTGGATCAGATGGACTGCTGGCCTGATCCAACATGGCTTCCCTTATGTTCTTATGAATTGCAAAGGTGGCTCTCCATGAACGGCGGCATGAGTAGACTGTCTCTTCTCTGACACCACAACACATGGATAACGTTTGCCCCTGGGATGTGAGTTAAAGGTCCTTTTGTTTGT